TTTTTTTTTTTCTAATGGTAATCGTAATTGAGGTGTTATGGAGTTTTTAATATTATTAAATTCTAAACTGCCTATGTGAATATTGCAGTAACAATAACTAAAAACTTTTAATTTTGAAAATTAACAGAGACAATATATGCGAATATTACGTCCTCTTAACATAGATAGATTGGATCGATAAATAACAAAATATTTTAACACTGTTATTTAACAATATAAAACACTTTATTAAAAAAAAAATATATATATATATATAGATGATTTTTATTTTTAATAAAAAAAATAGTATAAAATGGACGGATTTGGTTATTTAAAGGAATAACCTTAACTAAGTTCTAATTTAATACAGTCACATTAAGAAATATTATATCAATAAATTATTAAAACAAAGTTATATATTAAGACACATTTGGACGGATATGAATATTTAATTTTTGGTGTTTTAAGTTATATCTTTTAACATAAATAACTTAATGAATGGTTTATCATTATAAAACTATTCAGTAAATGTGCTATGATTAATATAAGCTGTTCAACAACAAAATGTGATCACAATATTGTTCTTCTAGTTATCATAATTAAATATATATTAAAATAAATGTATACTCATTTTACAATATTATTGAATATTTCTAAAAAAAATCAAAAACCTAAATCAATCTTTAATACTTCACTAAAAATAATGAACATTAATCGTTCACATTTAACTTATGTTAATACAAAAATAATCATTGATCAATATTGCGAACAAAAAAAAATATACTTATCAACACTATAAGCAAATTGGAAGATGTAGACATGTTAGCTGAGTTACACCAATGATCAAAATAACAAAAGCACCAGGTTGTTGAATCATAATAGTTTCTGTAAATATTGAAAATAATTAAAATTTAAAACTTGATGTTTATTTAAAAAATATACCTTTTAATATCCAATTCAGGTATTGAATTATTCACATAGTGGCCAAGTTTAACATCAACAGAACTTTTCCTGCAACCCTCATACTTGTCAGCTGGAATATCTGTGCGAAAACCTTTTAATGAACTCAAACAATCACGAGTAATTCGTTCCTCAGCTAAACAAATTAAAATTAATATAATTATTATTAAAATTGAAGGTTATAAAAACATTGTTTGATAAACATTTAACAGTGAAATTTTAGGAGGATGAATATTAAAATTGGTTCACTCCTTTAGATCCACACTTGACCTTTAAATACTTATACAGCATACATACACAAACTCTTGATGTCTGATCAGTGGCACCGAATGAAATTGAAACTGGCAGTTTAAATAGTTTGATTAACCCACCACCCACCCATCACTTCAAAAGATTTTGAAACAGGCTTAACTAATTATAAATACACAATTTAATGAAATTCCTGAATTAAATAAAATTATAACAGCAAGATTAAGAAATATACTCCATTATTTTATCCACCCACCTAATTTTGAACGGAGTTAAATTGAACTACCTGAAATACGTCATGTTTGGCACCACTATACCTGACACACTATTAGCAACCAAACATTGCTATATAATCTACATGCAATGCTATTAATACAACAGCACATCAGTCTTATTAGAGCTTGGCACAAAAATTGGTTGATCCAATACATGATAGCAAGTCACCTCCTGTTTACCACACATAGTTAATAGAGTTTATGAGATAGGAGTATAATATTAGTAATTATTATTTATTATGTTTAGTTATTTTAGTAGGCTGCGGTGAAAGTAGGACTTAGGATTAATGAAGAAAAAACAGAATACATGGTGGTCAGTAAGAGAAATGGGAATCTGGTACAATAAGAATTCATTGAAGTGGAAGAATACAAATTTAAAAGAGTGGGCCAATTCAAATACTTAGGGCCAATTATAACTCAAGATAACAACATAAAAACAGAAATTTCAATGAGATTACAATCAGCTAATAAATGTTCCTTTGGACTTAGTAAATTTTTAGATCAAGAGCAATCTCTAAGAACTTAAAAGTTAGAATGTACTTAACTTTGTTAAGGCCAATTGTCCTGTATGGAGCAGAACCATGGCCTCTGATAAAGACTGAAGAATGGAGGATGGCAGTGTTTAAGAGAAAAATACTTCGGCAAATTTATGGGGCATACGTTGATGTTCTCACAAATGAATGGAGGAAATTACACAATGATAAATTGCAATCCCTTTTTCAGCGACCGGATATACTGAAAGAGATTAAAAAAGAAGGGTAGTTTGGGTAGGACATGCCTGAAGGAAGCATGACTCATTAATAAGAAGAGTAATAGAGGAAAACCCAGTAGGGAGGAGACTTCTTGGAAGACCGCGTTTAAAATGGGAGGATTGCGTTAAGAGACGCTGAAACAGTTGAGCCGGAGAGTCATTGGCAGGAAGTAGCATAGGATAGAGATAGGTGGCAGTATGTTTATCTAGAGGTATGGTCTTGAATGGCCGAAACCAAAGAAGAAGAAGAAGAATTTATTTTAGTAGATACATACATTATACAAATTATAGTTTGATCATAATTTTGACTCAATAAAATAACATAAACTTATTTAAAAGTAATCATTATTTTAAGTTACAAAAAATTATTGATTATTCATGTTACAMATAATATAAAAATAATCCCAGTTTCAATAAATATAAATATTATTGTAAATAGTGTATATCAATACAAATTTACTTTAACTAAAATAACTCTTTAAACAATTTAAATATTATAATTTTCGAGTTATACATTATAATAAGAGTAATTATTGAATAATGATTATTACAATTTTATTTAAGATAATGTGATACCCACATATGTATTTTCCGTCTACAAGTGAGTAACACAGCAAATTTTACGCTCAGATCATAATTAGCTCTGTTAGTTTAAAATTTAAAGTGAATTGATCTCTTATAAAATGTAAAGGTAAGATTATTATCTAGTCAACCTCATAGGCTTTTAATCATATTTTAATTTTAATTTGAGTTATGATTATCTAAGTTGTACAGAAAATTCACGATTTTAAAACACTCATAACTTGCTTTTAAATTAAAATATGATAAAAGTGATAAATACTAGTTTTATTATTAACGTATTGCATGACCCGTCAAAAAAAAACTATAAAAGTGGTCGCTACATATTATTAAAGAGAAGTAAATTTCTAAATCAAATAGAATAACAAATAATAGAGGTACATTGAACATGAAAAATACAAACATGGAATTTCTTTCTTAACTAATATCATTGCTTATTACATTACTTTTGTTTAGTAAGGCAGGGTTAATGCATGTATACTATTATATACGTAAATATACAAATTCTTGTATTACATTACTCATTATTTCCCAATAAAAATATTTATTTTAAAACATGTACACAATGGTTTGTGAATTGTATGAATAAAATTGTCTTTTAAATATAAATAAAAATTATAAAATAATAAAATAATAACAATAGTTGATTAAACTAAAGAAATTATTATTTAGACTATTATGTGACTAAATGTTTGTTAATCCAATTTAATAATATAAAACTTCTACATATTTAAATATACATAATTTTATCTTAAAATTCAATACTATTGTGAATTAATTGGTAAATTAGCTTAAACTAGTATAACATACAGTATACAGTATATTGTACATTAGACTAGTGCCGAATTATTTTACAAATAGAATATAAAGTCAAATAATCAATAATATACTTAAATGATATGCTAAACTTTAAGCCACAGAAATATTATAGGCACTTCATAATTTTGGTTGTAGGTGATTTTACTCTAAAAAGCGAGGAGAGGAACGGAAAATTCTAATATCATCTTAACAGGACTTACCTTCACCATAATAACTTATTCAAYGCAACACATTTAAAAATAAAAATTCCAAATTTATTGACAAGAAAAGTTGAAAATATTTTTATGTTCACTTGATAATTAATATTAAAATAAATAAATAAAAAGTCAATAATTTTAATGAAATATTAATAAAATAGTATAAATAATTACCTCCGACTCTTTCAATGACTTTTACGCATATATCATCTTCTTCGGGACAAAAAATTGTTTTATGCCACATCCATTTAAATGGTGTCCCACAGCCTGGATGTGTAGAAACACATTGGTAGCATAATAATAATGATTGAGCTATAAAATAACATAAAATAAATTAATTTAGTTATCTCTTTCACAGATTACTATCTATACTATCTACTATTATACTGATATAACATAATACATATAACCAACAGCAGAATGCAGATTGACATACCAAAACACCAGGAAATTAAGTATTAAAAATCTGGTCTGGTGTACCTACTTCAATTAAAAATTTAAAAATTATATGATATTTAACTGTGTGTCTACATTGTTTGTTAATTTTGGCTGCACTAATACATACCTGTATAGTATTATAGTACCTAGTATATTAAGTAAATTTATATTTTATTTTAAGTCGTCAAGAGTTTTACAAAATTTGTATAAATACTTTATATTCTGAGCAGATCAATGAATGCATTTTTTTTATACCTAGTGTTTTTTTTTAAAAACAATTGTTTTGTGAMTGTCATCATTTTTTGAGGCAGTAAAAACGCTTTGAATTTTTATTTCAGCAAAGTTCCTGATAGCAAAACTAGATTTAATTGGTAATGCGAGTGGTCATGAAATTTAAATACAAACTAACATGATGTAAAATGTATATTACTATATTATATTTAATTTAAATTATGAAAAAAGACAATTCTTAAAATAAACAAAGGTTTTTTACGCAAAATTATTATTATTATAAATTATAATATATTGGATGGACCTGTCACACAGTAATTTCCGAGGCTGAAACTCTTAGTCAATCTGCTGTTGCATAGACCATTCACATTTAAAACATCTAAATATCCAATATAAAATAGTAAAACAGAAAATACCATAGGGCCACTCCCTGTAGTGTAACACTCACCATGTACGAATAATGTAGAAAATATCACYAATGAAAGAAAAGTTTTCGATTTCGTCATATTTATTATGAAGATATAATACAAAATTATATATTTTACTATTAATCTTTAAAAAAATATTAACAGTTCAAAGGTAAATAACCAATTTAAAATAATATTTCAACAGTAAGTCTAACTGACTGCTTAATAACAGTGCTAATCTACAATTCTACAACCTACAAGTTGTTTWGTTAATGATTAGTGAATCTAAATAGTAAATACTATCAACCAGACAGTAAACAAAAACAGTTTATATCAGTATCATGGAACAAAAATACCCTATATAGTTTAACTTGGAATAAAACACAAATTACATTAACGTTGATCGATGGCCCGCCAAATTCAATTATATTTTAATTTTAATTTTTTGTTCAATATTATATTACTCATTGATTGATTTAATAATTTATTCTAGTGGACAAATTTTAATGATAAATACTGTTAATACATATAATCAAAAGCTAAAAGCTAAAAGCTAGATTAATTGTTTGTATTCAATATTTTAATCTTATTATAATCGTATTATCTTATAAGTTCTTAGTACCTACTTATATTATACTTATTTGAAATAGATACAATTGCGATTACACATTAGAGTACCTATAATATACTGTCATTTAATTGAAATGATATTGGGAAGTTTATCTAACTTATTAATTTTATTTTTTACATATCATTAATACATCCTTGGTGGTGGTATTTGGATTAAGACTTTAAGAGTATCTTGCATTAACATTGTAATCTGTACTTGATTTTGAGTAATTAATACTAACTAGATAATAAATGTTATCTATCGAACTGTGGCGTATTATCTAATTTTATTTCTGGGGGGAGGGGTCCAATAATTCCGACATAATATAATATAGGTAGATTCTGGTATAAAGAAATTGTTTTAAGGAATTATTATAAGAATAAAAAATAGTTGTTTTATTATATTTCGAAAGGTATTTTAAATTTCAAAGTATATTTAATAATTGTAAATTACAAAATCTAATCGTCATTTTTTCTACAAAGTTCATCCAAAATGTCTTGTGGTACCTAAGAGAAAATTTTTTCTATAAATGGAAATCATTGCCAATCCGTCTCCCCGTCTCTAGAAAAAAGAAAACATAAATATAAATAGATTTATAATAGCTACCTGCTACCTACAGAAATAGTTTATTGGATAATGTTATGAGCCGTCAATTTATTGTTATAAGATATAGTTTCGACTGTTTCAAGAACGCGGTAGCTTGTCAAGCTAATATAACTGGCGAGCGCCGAGCAGCACCAGATGTAATATTATACTAACCATTTGGAAGCACTTTCGACCACCTTATAACTCAAAAACTATTTCACATAAACATGTTGAATTTGACTCATATATTGAGACCTGCGAGATATATATGTGATACAAAATTCATAAAAATATCTCAAATAGTTACTCAGATATTAACGTCCAAAAATCGTAATTTTTTCACCCATTGACCTATAGATAAAAACTCTAACCCAGTTCTAGATGACTTAGAAAGTTCAATCTTGGCGTCCAGATAGGTATTTCGGTGAATATATACCTCTGTATACAAAGGAATAAATCAGAAACTACAAAAATGCGTCCGGTCGAATATATGTCAGGCCCGCGCGCAAAAAAAATACGACTTTATTCTTTATATGTAGGTATGTAAATAAATATTAATTTTAAAAAAAGTTAAAATTAAATATCTTACCGTTTGATTATAGATTACCCACCACCAGAAGAAATGATTGTCAAAACGATAATTAATAATAAATTCAAAAAAATATACAATAWTTTTTCTATTATCACACTGTAGGTATTCTGCAAGAACACGGTGATTACAACAGAACAGAAAATATTTTATACTAAATATCAATAATGTCATTAAGGTTATTAACTGAATTATAGAACTCGTATATTGTAATTATAGAAAATAACGCAAAAAAGACAATTATACCCCGTAAACGAAGGAAAATACAATAACTTAATAAAAACCATTTAAGAAGACGCCAAACCCATATATTGTTGTTTCAGTCTTAAAAACGCATAACTTAACAAATTTATGCATAGTATACCTATCTAGTTCACGTTTTATTCCGTTAGCTTAAAAATTATCGTGAATAGATGAATTATCGTAAATTTTCAATGTCACGCATTTGTAAGACTGAGACAACAAATACCTACGGGTGTGTCGTCTTTGTAATATTAACATTATTATGAATAAGTATCAAATTATAATTTCTGCACAAAAAGTAATGATATCCCATCAAAACCATATGTGTGAAATAAGAGCCAATATCTATATTGTGATATATGCCTTGGTTATTGATTTCAACGACAAAAGAAGTGAGATCTATATAGGTGACAAGTTCAATGATCAGTTCTGAAATTTCTTTTTAATGTTTCAAGCGGCAAAAAAAAATTTGGAAAAAAATATAGGAAGAAAACACACTGAAGTCTTCAACACGTGTTCTGCAATTCATTTTAGTATAATTATTATTTGGGCATTCGATTATTGAAATTAAAAATTTGAGCACACAACATTCAACTCGTGAAAACTGCAAAAAATAAATGAGAAAGAGGGTATTGGCACCCGCAGGAAAGAGTGTTTCAAGAAGCAAAAAAAATTTAGAAAATAAATATATAGGAATAAAACACACTGAAGTTTTCAATATGTGATCTACATTCCATTATAGAATAATTTTTAAATGGGCAATCAATTTTTGAAGTTAAAAATGTGTGTACACTAAACTCAATAGGAGCTAAAAACAGTAAAAA